CTAGTTTTATTTAATTTCTTTTTCATATTTTCGTACAGAGGAATTATTTCATTTTGTAAATATGCTTGCTTACAGAATACAATTGTATATCCTATACAAACAGATTAGTATCTTATTCAATGTACATTAAAAAACACATGATAAAAGATTCTCAAGTGGAAAGTAAATATTCTAAAATCTTTGAATGGATCCACAGGAAGTTGTAGTATCCTTCTAGTACGCAGTTCCCTCTTATGGTTGTAACATAATTATGGTTCGAATTCCAAGCGAGTCCTGTTTCCACTCGAATTCTACCCCCGGAGTTCCTCTTCAACCGTGGCCCACCACATGTGCCAAGTCCTACTGGTATGAATTACTTTTTGTCTACGCACGTGTTCGGGACAGAAAGAAAACTTCCGAGAAAAGTAGCATCGAGTTTAGCTTTAATAAAACGTTCGTGACATAACTACTAACCCTCGTCAAAAATCCCTAAATCAGAACACGTCAAGCTCCCACCTCGTTTAAGTGGTAAAGTTTCTGCCTCGCTAGTAAAGGGTTAAATGTCAGCGAAGCTTGAGGTCGAAATCTCACCCGCCCACGTGCCGTCTACCCTCACGAACTAGAGTTAGAAACTCTTCGAGTGCATCGAGGAACTATCAGTAAAGTTGAACGGCCACCGAAAAGGTCGCCGGTGGTTGGCGAATAATAGCTATCGCTACGACAGGGTTTCTGTGATTCGATGGTTCCCGGCATCGATCAACGAGTTCCCGTGATTTAAGTATCGGTGCATGTGCAATATCGACTCGGTCCGAGACTCCGAGCGGACGCGGAGCTCGCGTATTTATAGATGACACATTTAGGCCAGAAGCAGTCGTTTGAACTATCTTTATTTTGGCAGACCGCTCTCTCCAGCCCCCATCGCGTCGGTCTACGCCTGTCTGAGGTGTCCGACGAGCCTGACCGACAACGAGCGCGCAACGTTCGCTGTAATTAAATCCGCGAGAACCCGTCCCGGTGAACATGAGCGCACGCAATTGTAATTTCACCGGTTAGCATCGGCCTATTAATTGTAGACCACGGGTCGAGACTCAGAAATGGTCGGTCGGACACCGTCGTGCCGGCTATTTCGGGTCGCTTCAACCGGCGTTGCGACACTGTATGTTAGCAGGCTTGCAAATGATCGCAGAATGTGTTACTTTAGGAAATATAATTAGATAGTTTCTATCGTACCCTAATTAATCAGCTGAGAATTATTTTTGGAACAAATAGAATTACACGTTTATCACTGAGAAAATTAGAAAAATCCCTCAAAGTATTGTAAAAGTTATGATATTTAATAAATGTTCTTGCATTTTCAAGCAGCTTTGTATAAGTCTTCAAAAAAATTAACTAAGAATCATTTTTGGTAGAAATAGGAGTATGCGTTTATCACCAAGAAAATTCGAAAAATTTGCAAAGTATTGTCAAACTTATCCTACAATATCTACTAAATAATCTTGTATTTCCAGGCAGCAAATTTTTGTGTAAATCTTAGGGAAAATCGATAAGGATTCGCGACCTGATTTAATTCCTGAAGACTACTACACCCTAACGTACTGAGATGATGTTAGTGCGTCAATCGGTGCAGCCACTGCTAGTTGACGCTTTAATTTACGGGCTCGCTTTATCGCGAAGGTTGTTACCGGCACGTGTCGCCATAGTTTGTATGTTCGTGTCAGTCAGATCCGACGGATATCAGATTCCGTTAATCGACTTAGGTAGGAACATTAAGCAACACGCTTTGAAATCTGATACTTAAGTCCTCGAATCTTGATCGATCGATCGATATGAAAATTGCATTTGCAAGATCGTAGTATACCCAATTAACGAATTTATCATCTTGAGGCTATCAGACAATAGCTAATTTATTTTTAGATCGCGTAAATTAATCTTGAAGGCGAAACCTCAATGATTAAAGTTTATTGTCCCTGCCACGTGCGTTAATATATAAAAATAGCACTAGTGTTCGAATTCTCATTCACTCCATGAAGACACCAGGTTTTCGTAGACACGTAGGCGTCTGGCTTGATCCCAATCATGTCAAAATATAAATGAAAATGACACGGAGCTGATGTTTAGAAATGGTCAATTAACTCTGAACGCAATCTACCGAGTCGCTATTTAATCACTCAACTTATATAGTGTGGCGCTTAGAAATTGCTTACCTAAGCAACGTCAAGTTTAGTGACTCGTCCGTCGTCTAATCTAAGCAGAAAATATAAGAGAGATTCGCATATCGAATTCCTTGATCATTTAATAGTAATCCGATACGATGTCAAATAATTGTTCAAATCTAAAACTAAATAAATAAACGAGATAAAGAATCACAGAAATGGGAGAAGGTTGATGTTAACGAAACGAAGGAAAATCCGTAATAGTATCCTGTCTATAAAGTTTACTTAGTATTCCGGTATTCGACACAAAATTCGCATTCCGTGCTGCGCAGCGGGCAAAAGTTTGCACGATAGGAGAGTTCGGCCAGCTGTGGAAACAAACAATCGATTTTCTTGGACAATGCACCCTAGAGTGCAACGTGTCCTATCTAAGAGCTAGGATCGGATTTGTTGAACGTGGAAATTGTTCGCGAATGTGGCGAATAACCCGCCGCGAGAACCACAGGGCAACGCGTGACAGAAATAAATACAGAGTCGCGACACGTTTTCCCTGCTCCCTCCGACAACGGGAACCACCGAAATAAATGGACCACCGCTTCCTGTAATTTGAGATCGCGAAAAACGATTCTCTATGATGGATCCCGACTCCTTGTTTACCTGAACAAGCTACTACATGTGATAAACTTGGGCAGTAACACAGGATGATTCGATGCTGACAGATGATACAACGTGAGAGTATTTTCCTTTTACAGTAGCCTTTGAACTGTGAAAAGATTCTAGTTTGCGTATCTTCATCATATCATAATTCTTGAATGATAATTCTACAATGAATAATGTGTCTATGTAGCTTTACTTGAATTTGCAAGTTATGTTAGACATTTTGAAAATTTATGACGAAGCATTCCAGAGCTCGTCGTCTACACGATGCGATAAAGTTGAGTTGCTATATATAAGCTCTTATCACCCTTGCGTCTTAAAAAAGGCAGCAAAGGAATTTCGATGCCACAGTCATCCCTTTGTAACAGAAACATTCCTGACCTGGACAAGAATCAGAAGCACGTTTCAAATCCGCTATTCTTGAAATTCGTGAAAATCGATAAGTACGCAGAAATCCGAGGAATCTTGTATCCCGTTAGTCTAACGAGGACGAGCCTGTGAAATTTAACTAATCCGCCTAGCGAAATCGCGTCGAGCCGACGACTCCACCAATTATCCTCTCGTAATCGTTCGATCTCTCGGAAATTACTATTCTTCGCGCGTTTTATCCGAGCAATGCGACGGGGAACGCGGAATTTAAGAGCGCGTTGGACGCAGCTGTCGCGAAACGAAGCGCGATTGTGTTTCGGCGCGCGAACGAAAACCGTGCGCGCGCGATCTTTATCTATAGATCGCGGATCACGGAAACGTGGATAGAACCGGAGCGAGATGTTGGCACAGATTCGTATACCAAGGGCCAAATTTATGCGTAACTACAAAGCGGCCTGGCTGATATAGCTGGTTTTTGGCTATCGGCCACCGCTCCACCGGTGCTGAAACTACTGAAATTGTTTTTCACTTCTAAAAAGCTCCAATAAACCTAGATATTTATTCGGTCGTTACACGATGGACGTTGCGAAAGAGTCCAACGTGAATTCGATTCCAAGTTTGTGATTTGTTTGGGAGATACGAACGAGTTTACAGCTGTTTCTTCAAAAGCATAAATGCTTCGTGTGTAATTATGAGCGTGACCACCCCTGGCGTAGACGAGAGATTACGTCGGTGTCTGCGTGGATGTAAAATAGCTGTACCGCGTGAAACAAGGTTCGTTGCCCTGTTTCCATCGCGATAGATACAATTACCGAGACGCCACGCCGTGCGAATTCTCGCCGGTTTTATTGGTCCAAGTGACCCAGCGACTGTGTGTGGATCTCTTTAGGTGGTGAAGCTGACTTCTCAAGATAAATGTTAATATTATATATTTATCAATTGATTCCTTTTCGAGCTACGATCTCATTCTACCTCTTCTTATTTCCCAATGCTCGCACCTTATATGTATTCATACACTGTTTTATTTTTAAATCTTAACACAAAGCTTCCTCTTGTTCACCTTTTTTTTATCACCTTGTATCATTTCTCTTTCTACCGTTTATATGATATATGTTTGAAATTCCCAAACAATAGAAATTATTTGATACACAGTGAAATACCTAAACATGTTTCAATCGTTATTTTATAATAATGATTATGTTCATTTGTTTTTTAACACGTGTATAGAAAGTAACATAATTTATTTCTCATTGAAATGGGAATATAAATACGTATCTCTAGTTAGTGCGATTAAGATCTCCGCTGGAAATAAATTACTGGGACGTGTGATCATTTTCATAGGACATAGCAGCTGTTCGTCACTTATTAACGTTGTCGATAGAGGGTCAATTGCTCAAGGGAAATTGTTAATAAAGGTAGTTTCGTTAGGGAAGGTAGCTGCTGATCGTTCCATTGTCAACCTTAATATCGGTGACCTCACATTTAAGCAATCAGATAATCCGCTGGGATATTTGTACGTGATACGTTCACCCAGGTCTATAAGTAACAAATATGATCGACTCCCTTGCGTAACTATCTGTCTTGATCGGACACCGTGAAATTATATCCGGCCTATTCTGATATTAATAGTCGGCTAAAAGATAATTTAACGAGTCATTGCTCGGCGAATCGTTATATCAATTTCAACGCATCATTTGCTGCGATCAAGATGCATTTGAAAATTCATTTGTGTATCTTTTTCGTAACCTTGTTCCTCAAATATCCGATACATGTGACCTAATGCATATTTAAACCAGCAATTTGTAATAAATACGTATAAATATTATAATATATTGTACTTACCGTTTAATAGTAATGGGGTAGCCATTGTAATGTCCTGCAGCGACATGTTTGTACTGTAACAAAAAAATAACAATAGTAATTAATCACAGAAATATTAAACATCTTATATGTAATACATTATATATTAAAATTAATGTATTTCTTTAAAAAAAAGAGGTGTAGAATTAAAGGGATAAGATTAGAACATTATATTGAAAAGCAGAGATTTCTCTTCCTGTTTTGTCAAAGCGATAATGAAAGACAGAAGGTTGAGGACTGTTTATTCTGGGAATAGGGCTAAGAATGGAGAGGTGGAACGTGGGTCCCTTCTGATCCCACAGGAAATAGACACTACGAACTACACCAAATTAGATGAAACTTTTAAAAAGGATCAAGATAAAGGTTACTTTCTATTTCGAGAACGAGAATCGGTCGAGAGGACCGAAACATCAGTCGACGAAGAGGTCCGCGCATAGATAAAGGATTAATCAGTCTAAGCAGTCGAAGAACCTGACCGGAATTTCGATTCATTGATTCTAATGGGATAGAATTCTGAGCAGATCGAATATTTAAATTACGCTTCACCTTCGTAGGTTTGTTATTGCATTTTAAGAATCTCAAGATCATGCAAGTAACATCCAACAACTGGCCTTCCACTCCGAAAGTGCATACTTGCGTCGTTAGCCAGCAGGTGCGGTTTAAGAAGGGATTTGATATAATTAAACGCGACCCATATTTTCGACGCGATTCTCATCCTTCTAACGAAACAGGGCTTAATTTGATGCGAAACCGTTTATGTGACATGTCAGTGATATATGGCCACGTGGCCGGTTGACGTAGCTAGCGAGCAATAAGGAAATGCAGAATTTCCAGAGAAAGGTTTAATTTAGATTTCATCCAAACGCTATTCCTGCTGACCGGTGGTGAAATGCGAAATGAGTAATTAGCGGATAACGTCCCTCCAGCGGGACTTGTCGCGAGTCTTAACAAGTTCTCGGAGTTCCTCTATTATTTGCGAGCACCGTGCAGTCTGGACAGACCGGCCCACCGTCGGCTGACGCACCGCACTTAGAAATTCTCTTCATATATTAAAAAAGTATCATATTTTTAGTTCCATAAAAAATTCCAAGAAACACTCGTATTGCAAAATGAATTTTCAACTAAATGAAAATGAAGAAATCTTATTATTTCTAGTGTAAGAAAAAGAAGGCTGTTGAACGAACAAAGACAAGTTCACGCGTACAAATTAACGCGGACATTTGAAGTTAAAAATGACATACAGCGAGAGACCTCCAAGCGACTCATCAGTGTTCTTCTTCTTTCCATTGGTTAAAAGTCGAGGGAGGGCCGGCGGCGACGAGTCGTTTTTCAACGAGGTCTATTTGCAAACCGTGAGCGTACGTAATCTCGTTCACCTCGCCGGCGTGTAATCGTGGCCATCCTCTACCGCACCCTAACATCCGACTCTAATATATTAAGCGCAACCCCTTACGTTCGCGTAAAACAAATCCGAATCCGGACTTCTCAGAATCTGAGAACGCCTCAGAAGTCCGTCGGAGGCCGGAACGATCGGGGAACAAGCGAACCAAAGGGTGACACTTTGCTGATATTATTATTGCCCAGTTTACGAGACAGGGTTGCTTTACTTAAAGAGATCAGCCAACCGCGACGCCCACGGTTTACCACAAACTTCGCACGTGAGGTTCTAAATTCAAAAGAAAACGAAACGTTCTTTAGAATAAACTTCAGATTTAGTTAGACTGTTTTGCTAGTTTTAAGTCGGCCGCTAATAAATGATTCAAAATAACAGCAGTCCGGAGCTGAGGATTAAAGACGATGAGTCACTGTGGACTAACAAGTACAATTGATTTCATTTTCTTATGCATTTAATTCTGACAATGAAATGAATTAGGAATTTATAGGAAAATAAATAGTACTTTATGGAATATACATGCTGTTGAACGAACAAAGACAAGTTCACGCGTACAAATTAACGCGGACATTTGAAGTTAAAAATGACATACAGCGAGAGACCTCCAAGCGACTCATCAGTGTTCTTCTTCTTTCCATTGGTTAAAAGTCGAGGGAGGGCCGGCGGCGACGAGTCGTTTTTCAACGAGGTCTATTTGCAAACCGTGAGCGTACGTAATCTCGTTCACCTCGCCGGCGTGTAATCGTGGCCATCCTCTACCGCACCCTAACATCCGACTCTAATATATTAAGCGCAACCCCTTACGTTCGCGTAAAACAAATCCGAATCCGGACTTCTCAGAATCTGAGAACGCCTCAGAAGTCCGTCGGAGGCCGGAACGATCGGGGAACAAGCGAACCAAAGGGTGACACTTTGCTGATATTATTATTGCCCAGTTTACGAGACAGGGTTGCTTTACTTAAAGAGATCAGCCAACCGCGACGCCCACGGTTTACCACAAACTTCGCACGTGAGGTTCTAAATTCAAAAGAAAACGAAACGTTCTTTAGAATAAACTTCAGATTTAGTTAGACTGTTTTGCTAGTTTTAAGTCGGCCGCTAATAAATGATTCAAAATAACAGCAGTCCGGAGCTGAGGATTAAAGACGATGAGTCACTGTGGACTAACAAGTACAATTGATTTCATTTTCTTATGCATTTAATTCTGACAATGAAATGAATTAGGAATTTATAGGAAAATAAATAGTACTTTATGGAATATACATAGCAGTGGGAAAAATAGTAGTTATAGAAGCTAATTATGAACAGATAAAGGAAATTGATCATCTGCGTCGTTTGTAAAACTACAATTGGTCGCAATAGAGATTAGTTACATAATTCATAACTCATTTCAGAATAGGCAAACATAGCATCGTCGCGTTTCATGCATAAAAATGAACGATTTAATTTGATACAAATTATTTTGTATAACTATTTATCGATAAAGATTAGTTATAAAGACTTCATTATTGTAAAAGATTATTATTAAAGTGCTAATAATACCCAAGTTCTATCCATCGATTGAAGAAAAATCAAATTGAGCTCGATAACTGATGTCACTAATTTTTGTCATCTAATACTCCGAACTTAATAATACATGAGTAACTTGGAGGAGCTATGAAGAAATTGTTGAGGATGGAAAACAATTACATGAAATGACGCACAAAGTTGTCGTCATCTAACAAGATGGACGGTGGTTGTGTAAGTAATCAATACTGGAGAGCAGATATGGTGGCATGGACCGAAACAGGAGCGTGCAGTTCGAGCTTTAATCTCGCTTGTATAAGACGCATTTTTCTATAAGGCTTGCTGAATCACAGAGTGACTATACATTAGATTAATTATTTATTCCATCACTTATTGCATTGTTCAGAATATGTAAAGAACACAAGAAAATATTAATATCATATTTTAAACTCGTGAATCCAAGCAACATTTCTTCAAATAAAACATATATCACGTTATCACTCAAAGGTTAACAAGAAGTTCATTGATATTTCATATGTTTTGAACATTGAAATATCACTTAAATAAAATCTATTCAATAATAAGATCATGCTTTAATTTGAATTCGCTGAATTATAACTTGCAATGGAATTAAATGAAACAATTCGCCAATAATTTGTCACAATATGACTACGATTAGCCTTGTGATTCTATTGCAAGTAACACCTTAAACGACATTTAAACGCAGTATCATCGCAGACAGTACGGTGTTGAACGATATTAAAACGAGCACATTCACGTCGGCGACGTGTAAAATTCGCTCAATTACCGGATCGTTAAACGTATTAGCTTGCCTAGTTAAACAATTAGCTCGGTCCTGTCGAATAGAAACGTTGTTTATGATGCGATACGGACCGGCTAGCTGGCTTATTCTTATGCACGATTGAGTGGGTGTCCGGTGGGCGAAATAGTTCATTAAGGCTTTAATTAATGCACGGGACACTTGGTGAACGCATACATAATGTATCCGTACAATTGAGTCTGACATATCGCAATACTCGATATAACACAGTCTTTGTCGTTATTTCAACAAATGGAGATGTGTTTTCAAGTAAACGCCCTGTATTGAATGTAAATTAAAGGAATTTTGTATTAATGTGGATTATAAATCACCTAACAACACGATTGTGTCTATGCGACGTATTGACAGAATGATATTACGAAGTGACTAGCATAATCGTAGGGTGCGTTGACCTCTTGCAATCTAGAATAAAGTACAATTGAATGCGCAGTGCTATTAATTTAAATGTACTGTTTTCCTGTGAAGAAACATGTATTCGTGTGTTTTATCATTACATAAATAACTGGTACAAAAAGTAGCAGCTGGTTTATTAAAACTTGAGGGACGTACTCCAATTTTTAATAGTTTTAATATGTCAGTTAGTCAAGTAATAAAATAAGTTCTAATAAAATTTTATTTAATGCTAAACGAAATAATTTGTAAGTCGAGACAGGAATTCTACAAGCTAGAAGCTCGAATAAGGTAATAAGCAAACAGAGGATTTAATCGTCTTCGATACTTTCGCGGCGTATAAACAGCTTGCTAAGCGAATTACTGCTCATTAGGGTTTGCTTATGACTCACTTTACGAACAGAACAACAATCGGCATTTGTACCCGAGGAATCTATATGCAAACCTCTTGGTACATTTCCTATTTCGTATCAGTCAACACGTACTAAATAAATAGTATCATACTTTACTTTAACCAATACGTAGATAATACATGTACGTGCTTCGTCTCACGTGCAAAAGACTTCATTATTGTAAAAGATTATTATTAAAGTGCTAATAATACCCAAGTTCTATCCATCGATTGAAGAAAAATCAAATTGAGCTCGATAACTGATGTCACTAATTTTTGTCATCTAATACTCCGAACTTAATAATACATGAGTAACTTGGAGGAGCTATGAAGAAATTGTTGAGGATGGAAAACAATTACATGAAATGACGCACAAAGTTGTCGTCATCTAACAAGATGGACGGTGGTTGTGTAAGTAATCAATACTGGAGAGCAGATATGGTGGCATGGACCGAAACAGGAGCGTGCAGTTCGAGCTTTAATCTCGCTTGTATAAGACGCATTTTTCTATAAGGCTTGCTGAATCACAGAGTGACTATACATTAGATTAATTATTTATTCCATCACTTATTGCATTGTTCAGAATATGTAAAGAACACAAGAAAATATTAATATCATATTTTAAACTCGTGAATCCAAGCAACATTTCTTCAAATAAAACATATATCACGTTATCACTCAAAGGTTAACAAGAAGTTCATTGATATTTCATATGTTTTGAACATTGAAATATCACTTAAATAAAATCTATTCAATAATAAGATCATGCTTTAATTTGAATTCGCTGAATTATAACTTGCAATGGAATTAAATGAAACAATTCGCCAATAATTTGTCACAATATGACTACGATTAGCCTTGTGATTCTATTGCAAGTAACACCTTAAACGACATTTAAACGCAGTATCATCGCAGACAGTACGGTGTTGAACGATATTAAAACGAGCACATTCACGTCGGCGACGTGTAAAATTCGCTCAATTACCGGATCGTTAAACGTATTAGCTTGCCTAGTTAAACAATTAGCTCGGTCCTGTCGAATAGAAACGTTGTTTATGATGCGATACGGACCGGCTAGCTGGCTTATTCTTATGCACGATTGAGTGGGTGTCCGGTGGGCGAAATAGTTCATTAAGGCTTTAATTAATGCACGGGACACTTGGTGAACGCATACATAATGTATCCGTACAATTGAGTCTGACATATCGCAATACTCGATATAACACAGTCTTTGTCGTTATTTCAACAAATGGAGATGTGTTTTCAAGTAAACGCCCTGTATTGAATGTAAATTAAAGGAATTTTGTATTAATGTGGATTATAAATCACCTAACAACACGATTGTGTCTATGCGACGTATTGACAGAATGATATTACGAAGTGACTAGCATAATCGTAGGGTGCGTTGACCTCTTGCAATCTAGAATAAAGTACAATTGAATGCGCAGTGCTATTAATTTAAATGTACTGTTTTCCTGTGAAGAAACATGTATTCGTGTGTTTTATCATTACATAAATAACTGGTACAAAAAGTAGCAGCTGGTTTATTAAAACTTGAGGGACGTACTCCAATTTTTAATAGTTTTAATATGTCAGTTAGTCAAGTAATAAAATAAGTTCTAATAAAATTTTATTTAATGCTAAACGAAATAATTTGTAAGTCGAGACAGGAATTCTACAAGCTAGAAGCTCGAATAAGGTAATAAGCAAACAGAGGATTTAATCGTCTTCGATACTTTCGCGGCGTATAAACAGCTTGCTAAGCGAATTACTGCTCATTAGGGTTTGCTTATGACTCACTTTACGAACAGAACAACAATCGGCATTTGTACCCGAGGAATCTATATGCAAACCTCTTGGTACATTTCCTATTTCGTATCAGTCAACACGTACTAAATAAATAGTATCATACTTTACTTTAACCAATACGTAGATAATACATGTACGTGCTTCGTCTCACGTGCGTTTTAAAGGCGTAAAAAATGTAAAAAGAATGTAAACTACCAACTTTTTACTCTGTAAGCCAAGTTAGGATGTTTTCTATATTTATGACTGTTAGAAGTCAACGATTTTGAAATTCACGAATACAAAAGGAAAGAAACGAATATTTAGTAGTTCCTTTGAGATCTCTAGACCACAATGAAACATTTGATGTTGTTATTTGAAGCTGTCAAACCGGGCCCTGCTGTCAGTGCATCGAGGGACCAACTGAGCAAGCCTTTACCCCGAAATAATCACGGCAAACAAACTATACTAATTTAGGGAACTGAAAGGAATAGGGTACATCCTTTACGTGGCTCAGTTGTTTTAGCGGCAAGTCACAAAGAATTCATTTGTTTTTTTGTTATAAAATTCGTAATATCCGATTCTTATTATTCTAACGAAAACCGTATTAAAATCCTTATGATCTCCATTATCTGAGAATGACATCATATAACTAACAAAGTAAATCGCTTTAACGAATACATACTGACAGTTTTCTTCGTTCTACAACCGTATAAGTATGAATCACTGTTGAACCTGATAACTGCATTACATTTCATGCAGTTCTTAATGTTGAATACCATCTTTCCCCAAATTTATATCTAATAATATGTATGTTTTATTAATATGNTTAAAGTCTGTACAACGTGGTATAGTTAAAGAAAAACGTATGAAAAACGTTAAGATCTTGAAATTTTGCTACTAACGAATATCTTATAAATGAATACATACTAAAATTAATTCTCTGGATTATTACAGAAGATATTAATAAAATACTCCAAATATTTTCAACCTTTAGAGCGGGATTTTTAGTTAACACAACCGTACCTGTTCCGTTCGAGGGACAAAAGTTAAGAAAATGGAGACTTCGTTGGGATAGTTTATGGCGAGTAGGTGCGGGAAAGTAGCTTTTGAGGATTGAAGTTCTTTTCTATTTTCATGACATTTTTCCTTTATCCCTCGTACTTTAATGACCGACCTTGCCATAAACTAAAGTACTGAAGGGTATCAAGCAATCAGTTAAGCCGGCTTAATAGTCCGTCATGCGACGACTACTTAGCGGAACTTTTTGCATTCGTCAGGTCCCTTCGAAGGCTCCACATGTTTCGGAAGACGTAAGTCCCACTCCGCTACGTAGTGGGGGTGCGTTTTTTAAAACTCGCGAAACTCGCTAGACAAAGAAAAAGAGGAAAAGAGCTGAAGACGCAGGACAAATCGAAACAAAGCAATCGACAGCAGTAGGTCAAAATCAATTATTATTAACAGCTATCTAAAATCAACTAGCATTAGCGTCGAGCTTTCGCATCGAAAGAACATAAGACTAATATTCGGGTCTTAAAAATTTCTCGAGAACATTCGTGTCGATAGCGAACATACGGAAATCGTGTACAGTCCACTTCCTAGTTTTGAATTAGGTGCACAACATCAATTTTGCGTGCATCACCAGTACAAAATTAATGATTTTTATTATTTTGGATTGGAAGCTTGTGGAATGCATATCCAAAGGTTTCAAATAATATTATGCGAATAATAAAATAAAAAAGATATTTGTAACAATTAGAACCATTTAGATTCTTAATTTTAGTATATTACGTTATAAACAATAATTCTTTTTACTTTTTGTGTCTATATTAATAATATATAACGTTCAATATTTCGTATGTACGTTACTTTTGACAGGGATTGTATAGCCAATACATCCTTAAAACGCATCCCTCTTAATTCGTCTCCTTACAATATATTACAAATTCAAGTCATTCAGTCTAGTCTTAATACGTATTTTGTATCAAGTCCTTCATGAAAGAACGGAGTTAGTCTATAACGATAATATCCGTCTAACTACTCACGACAGAGTTACACGTCATTTCGTTACACACGACTGGTTGAAGTGTCATGAAGGCAATGTTATAAGGCAATAAATGTAAAACAGCAGAAGAGCATTTAGAACTGCCCAATGAAATCAGCGGATATGTACTTACTTTCGGAACGGGCTGTAAATGCTACCCCAGACGCTGGATCTGGTCGGCGAGGGTGGACTGTTTTGGCTTTGATTGGAATATCCGTAGCCGGCGAAAAACATGTTGCGGTAATTGTTCCTCATTGGTATAACGCACGAGAATAATTTCCGTGTGAATATAAAAAGAAACGAATCGAATGGTCCTCGATCGGAGGGATAGACAGGCAATCCCGCGCGTTTATATACAAAACGAACTTATCGATAAAACTATAACAACAACGGTAACAACAATAAACGATAATAACGTTAGTAATAATAATAGTCCTATGAGATAATACTACAGCAAGTTGTACTTTGAATGAACAGCTTTGGCACGTTTATTTGGCACACGGTGTCAATGTACTCGGGCTCTCAGAGGAGCATATCAACGCGATCGGCACCGATCAGTGTCATTTCAGTCAGTCTTATTAGAAAACAGGAAATCTGGAGTTCACTGTTTTTGGAAACGACGATCGTCCGCGTCTCGGCCCGGTGCCGTGACCTAGTGGACGGTCGAAAAGTCTGTTTTTCCTCGGACGAAACTGTGTTACCGCGGCGACCTATATGCCCCTGGATCAATGCGGAGATAACTCTCGTTCACCCCAAAACGAAATTACGGATGATTGTCCACGGTACGCGTTTATTTAAACGCACGTTTTCTTTGTTTCCACAAGACACTCCTGTCCCAACCCAAGAGTCGTCCGATTTGCAGCTGAGGCAAAATAGCGACGAAAACACAGTCTGACACAAAAAGTCGAGTTCAGAAAAACGACGCTGTGTCACTGAATCAGCAGTTTGTATTTTAGCACAGTCCTCTTTGAGAAAAGTAATAGTAGCTTTCTTGCCGGGCGTCTATCGTCTTCCATCGCGTTGACGAACGAAATCACACTCTATCTCTCGACGGAAGACGAACGTCTAACTTGAGAAATCGTTTCTTCCCAAATCCCGCACTGCTACTTTAAGCTCGCTTGCTCCGTTCAGGCGTTGCCTTTATCGATAACGCGTGCACTTTCGACGAAACGAGACCGCGTGGATATCAGCACGGACCCTACTCTAGCGACAGATTGAACGCGACTGAACGCAGACGACGCTACGACACGACGTCACGACACAGACAAGACATGGGTCCCGATCGAGGGGAGGCACGAGCGGAGGGTTTAAGGTCGGAAGATTCGTGCGGCTGGTCGAAGAGCAAACGGAGGCCGAGCGCGATGGACCCCAACCACGAATAGGTCGACCCGAGAGCAGCGGGTGGAAGGGAAGCGGTGGAGTGCAGATAAAGAGCAGACGTTGAACGGAGGGAGAGTCGTAGGACAAAAACAGATAGAGCGGTAAGGGTTGTTAGGAGAAACGTGGCCTGCTGCGTGCGGTCAAACGCAGTGCTCCTCAATTTATGCGATGCAGCTCTATGTTATAAAAAGCGTTCCCAAAAACACAGGAATATTAAAGAGAGAAATAAAGATTTAAAATCATTCGAAATATAAGTGAAAATACTATAACCATCCAAGCATTTATGAACTATTTGATATAAGACTGAATGTACATCAAATTTTGACTCTTCCATTAGATTTTTGAATTGAGGCTCGATGGAGAAACGATAAGGGAATGTTTGGGAATAATCCATTTTTCTGGGTGAAGATAAGGCCTTGAATTAGGGGAGTTCGGATGATAACGATAATGGAAACGTTAAAGGTGATAATTTGAACACAGCTGCTACATAATGATAAAACTGGCTGCTTTTTATTGACTTAATTTTTATGGGGAAGTAGAAGTTGTTATGAATCATATTTTTCAAATGAAATTTAATGAATTTCTGAGACTTAATACCCTCATAGATTACGTACCACGTATTACTTGGTTTATCTGCTTACTTCGTCGACTTATGATTTTATTTTTCTGATAACAGCCCATCCTGCAAGGCGTATGGATGATTCGTAACAGCGTAATTCCCATCGTGCAATTATTATTGAGCAAAGTAAGCGGAATGTAGTATGGAGAACAGGAATTTGAGAACCATTGAAGTGAACCCTTGTTCAGTAGAAATAGTAATTATTTAAATAAACAGGAAATCTCTTTCATTATTTATTATAAATAATAGATTAACAATACACAACCCTTTCATGTTCTTTTTTCTACTTCATGTATATGTGTAATGCATCATAATATATGTATAATATTACATGACCTATAATATGCAATTTATAAGAAATAACAGGTACAGTACAAATCTCCAATTAATAATTATGGAATTTTACTATACATACAAACAAATTAATACAAACCTCTTAACTGCGATGCATGACTTATCGAATTATTAATACAAATTGTAATTTAACACTATGGATAAATATTATGGAAAGCGATATATAATTATGTTAACGCGATGAATACTCTATAGCATTGTAAAATAAGTATACACGTAATTCAACAATCATAACTACAATATGCAGTACGTGATAATTATTAACAAGCATTTCTAACCTTAAAATATATAATCTTACGAAATTTTATATAAAAATACGTGCGGTACCTTGAGTACACAAGTACATTTTCTTTTCTATTCAAAACGAGAAGAAGTGTATCAAAAAATTATGTAATTTTTAAGAACTATCACCACAGAAATAAAATACTTTGATGTGAATTTGTTGTAATCAACTATACTTCGTGGAAACTGTCGATAAAATTGTTTCCTACTCCGTACGATATATTACGTTCCATCAATAATTTAAAAAATATTCTTAATTTAAAATAAAAATTAATCACAGAAGCTATTGACATGAAAACTTCATTATTTCTTTGTTAAATATTTGTAGTTTCATTTGCTAATTACATATTTTTGTATATTTTACAAATTATTGATATAATAGTTTATACATATTTAATACAATCTTCGGTTTTATATGAAAATAAAGTAACTTAACTGCTGCAGTTTCGAGTTTGTCAAATACTATCACAAAGGAACACTGATAGATGTATCCAAACATTAACCCTTGCTTTGAAAAAAGCATACATCGCACATAATATATAATATTATACAAATTTACTTACAAATCGAAATGATTTATTGTAGCAACTGTGTCGTCCATCTTGCACACGACTCCTTAACACTGATTAACAAAAGAAAAGTATATGAAAAAACAAAAACTACACGCACTTCCAAACCGTCAAATTTGAAAACAACTACTGACGCTAACACTGCACACTGCACGTGCCTCAATCAGTCCTACCAATGTTAAAGATTCGCTGATACTCGACGAATCAATTGAGATTTATATATGGCCTAAATATCATNGATTTGTAGAATAGATTAATTTTCTCGTATGGGATATAATTGAGTGTCATAGTAATCTTTCACACTAGTTGGGATGAACTTCTATCGGTGATGGTCCTGACATCGCTCGAATTAATCTATTTAATCTAAATTAACTTATTTGCCAAAATCTTCGATGATTTATTAAGGAAAACAATTTAACGCTAATAAAATAATCCGTGAACATAAAACGATCTCTTCATGACTTACCTTATAGATAGAGGATACCGCGTATTTAGTCTTTCAAAATTTCGGTCACAGAGTTTAGGCAAAAAGCATTTGCAGATAATAATAAAAGAATTACTACACGTAAATATTAGCAATAGTTATACAAAAACACTATTACGAGAACTTTTCTAATATGTAATAATTTTCATCCCTTACTACATTCTTCCTTTGTATCATTTCTATTCTCTTATATAACAAAGTCTATCTCCTCCACAAATATTCGTGGAATCGGACGATCGCGTCATTAAAAACAATTTAAGTTTACATAAGAAAATGATTGTACAAACATAAGTATTTTGTTTACACAATTGTCTTCGATGATATTAAGTACCATTTCATGTTAATATTGCTACATTCGAGAAATTAGTATTTTATTCAAAATATGTGAAAATTCATTCCATCACAGAATGAATATGTATTTACATAAATAGTGTGCGTTTTACAGATTTAATGTGTATTAAGTACTACAATTTTATAGATATGTTCATTTGAATGCTTCTATTGAGATGTAACAGCTACCCTCTCATAATGTATCTATCTATATGTATTAATAACGTTAAAAATGAGCTGATAATAAATATAGTATTTGTAGCAAATTTTCTTGTTTCTTTTATACGCATATGAAAAACAACATCAAATTTCGAAGTGTCCGTCTATTCCCTTACAACTTTACGTAATGTTCACGCAATCGAGAAGAAAATTATTATCTTCCGTTGACGAGCATAATTCACCGGTCGATTTGCGTTACGATTATTCGAACATTTAACCTTGGCCTTCATCTTTTCCGCAAAGCATTTTATTCGGGGTAATGACGCGTCCGCAGTCCTTATAACCGACTGAAAAATCCATATCGTACGTTTACTACGGCCCGCTAGACGCGAAAACCGGTTTCATTAAAACTTTTACGAGTAAACTGACTGTGCTCAGCTCAAGAAATTATCGGCTTCATCCCATTTTCTCGTTCACGATAAAAACCGTCAATGCATCTTCGGATATTTGCGTTCCGTGGTTAAACAATGGTAACAGTTCCTGACATCACGACATTCTCCGAATTTTGCTTATCTAATTGTTCCATCGTTTTAAAATCGCGTGCCTCGCGCTCGAACGCGACGTTAAAAATATAAAAGGAAAAGTTCAGATCTATAAAAGTCAATGCAACCGTTACTCGTTCGAATGTACTTGCGTATAAGGAAATTTGACTGCAGTCATTGTGTCTGACGCTTCTGATTTCAAACAGAAATTCCTATGTGGCGATACACACATACATACGCGTTACTCATGATGTAAAAAAAAAAAAGAACATCGGGAACATTGAGACGTAAATGCGCCATGCGTGTAGTTCCGCAGGACTCTTTATGTGCGACGTTGCGTTTCTACAAAACGTGAAATACAAACTCGTTCCTATTTAATATAGTGCGGAATAAGTAACGTAGAAGCTTTGTAAGGCAGTATTAAGCACGTGGGAACTTCGGTTTGACTTCCGTACTGAGTGCCTTTCTCGGGGGAGAATAATGAATATCGAGGAGCCGGATTTCTCAAACGCGAGAACGCTACACTTACGTAGCCACGACGACGGCGACAATGTTAAGGAAGAGAGTGCTCGATCGGATCGAAGAAATATCTTCGACAGCGTCTACAAGATGACTACTGTTGAGAGGTACGCCTATTTTATTAAATCAGAAAACAGGACTTAGGGAAAGCAGCAGGACTTATCAAGAGAGAATAAGGAAAATAGAAAGGATCTATATTATAGATTTTTTATTCAATCTTATACTTCATATATGGACAGTTCAATATTAGAACTGTAAACGTATTTAATTATTTACTGTCTTTATTTTTACTTGTAACCTGAAAAAATGAATAATGGACGAAACAAAAGACAACGGATGACGGGTTTCCTCGCCATCTTCATTCC